TATGTATGTATATACATACACATATGTACGTACATAATATACATATATATATATATATATATATATATATATATATATATATATATATATATATATATGTGTGTGTGTGTGTGTGTGTGTGTGTGTCTGTGTGTGTGTGTGTGTGTGTGTGTGTGTGTGTTTATATATACATATATATGTGTGTGTGTGCGTGTTTGTATATGTGTGTGTGTGTGTGTGTGTGTGTGTGTGTGTGTGTGTGTTGTGTGTGTGTGTGTGTGTGTGTGTGTGTGTGTATGTATATAGGTATGTGTGTATGTTTGTGTGTATGTACACACATATACACACACACACAACAGACGCCACACATACGCACACACACATATATATACAATATATATGCATATATAAGATATATATATATATATATATATATATATATATATATATATATATATATATATATAATATATATATATATGTGTGTGTGTGTGTGTGTGTGTGTGTGTTGTGTGTGTGTGTGTGTGTATGTATGTGTATATATATATATATATTATATATATATATATATATATATATTAGTATATATATATATATATATATACATATATATAGACATAGATATACAGATATATCCGTAAACATGATTCAATACACACATAGAAACTATATATATATATATATATATATATATATATATATATATATATATATATATATATATATATATATATATATATGAATATATATATGTGTGTGTGTGTGTGTGTGTGTGTGTGTGTGTATGTGTGTATCTTCATGTATGTGTATGTATGTATTATGTAAAACACACGCATACACAAACACACACAAACACAATATTTATATATGTATATTATATATATATATATATATATATATATATATATATATATGTGTGTGTGTGTGTGTGTGTGTGTGTGTGTGTGTGTGTGTGTGTGTGTGTGTGTGTGTGAGAGTGTCTGTGTTTGCATATATATATATATTATATATATATATATATATATATATATATATATATATATATATATATATATATATATATATATATATATTATATATATATATATATATATATATGTGTGTGTGTGTGTGTGTGTGTGTGTGTGTGTGTGTGTGTGTGTGTGTGTGTGTGTGTGTGTGTGTGTGTGTTTGTGTGTGTATGTATATCAAATATATATATGTGTATATTTACATAGTATGTATATATACATATATATATATCATATTTTTTAGCTAGCCGCAACCCGCCTCCTGGTTTGGAGATTAAGTTATTATCTATAATAGATCATGGTTTTTGTATGTGACTCTAACTCTATTCCCATTTCAGATTTTCTCAGTTCTTTTCGGCGGCTCTGTTCCGCGTATCCGAAGAAAGAAAGCTTCTGCTGGCCTGGATTAATGGCTCGCTGCCTCCCCCAGATTTGGTCGTTATAGGTAAAGCTTATGGCGTAGAAGGGGAATGACATAGACTGAACTCTTTCGTCTGAATTTTCTCCTTGTCTATATCGTTCGTTCTAATTACAGGTTATGGCTCGTGGACTCTCTACTCTCCGCAGTACCTCAATAGTCCATGACAACCTGAACCTCTCAGCGGCCTTCTGAGAATTCATCAGCTGGTGAGTCCGCTTCTGCAGAAACTGTCTCGCAAGACCTTGGTGTTGTTTCACGCCGAGTCTCGCCAGCGGCCGCTCCCGCCGTGGCAGACGCTCACCAGCAATGCAGCTCGCTCGGTTGGGCATGTTCACCGACGGCCTCTACGACTGGAGTGAGATGATGATAAGGTATTTCCTCGAAAAGCGCTCTCGGGATCTTTGGGACCAAGTGCGTTTGCTAGGAAGAAAGAATCTTGACGGCGAGGACGCAGAGGGAGTATGGTGGTGGGACTCGACTCTCCCCTACCACTCCGCCACCGTCCTTGAGTGCAACGACCTGCAGCGCCGCAACCTGACGCATTGGGAGGAATACCGCGACCCTCGCAACAACTGCGAGGATCAGGTACATGCCGGAGGCAACACGCGCTACCTCGAAGTTATCATGCTGCTCAATCTTCTGTGTAACTCCCACATGGCGAGCGAGGATCATTTCTGCTGCAGCTGATTGAGAATCAGAGAAGGATATTTGGGGCAATAACCAGTGGCAGGAACAGGGGACGGGCTGTCCTCGCCACAGAGTGGGACAAACTGCTACTCTGCAACAAGGAATATACGATATGTAGAAATACATGAACAATTACTGATTTGGATAATGTAAATGTGAATGTGCTTTGCTAATTTGTAAGATGCAGGTTGTATCCAAATGATTTTAAATTTTCTCGCATTATTTGTCTGGGAACCTGCTTCCTTACTGAAACCATGACAATCTAGATATCATACAACCAATTTCATATCATCCATCATATTCAGCATAAAAGGGCCTCAAGGTCTTCGAAAGTGCTTTTGGAAAATTAAAATCCCCATTGGAGGAGCTACGCCCGCATACCGTTTGTACATCCTCGAACTGCCAGTGATGAAAACCGGTGCTGATGTGCGAAGTATACAGTTCAGTAATTAATGATATACCAAATTTACAAATGAGAATAAGATACGGTACAAACGCACATACACACATACACTACCACACACATATAAATATATATTATATATATATATAGTA